CCGGCGACGCCTCGCCGTGTAGTGTGGGGAAGCTAAGCATAGCTTTAGCTACCCGGGGGCGCGCCCCTGCCGCCGACCCTCCCCAAAAATCCTTTAGCCTGGTGGGGTTTTCACGTTTTTCGGGGTCTGGGGTGGACAAAAAGATGGTAAAATTTGAAGATGCGTTTTGGAGGTCCCAAAAATCGGAAAAAAGTACCGTTTTGACACATTTTTCGGACGATTTTTCGCTTTTCGGAAGTCACAAAATGCTGTAAATTACAACATTTTTGCGTTTTAACGTCGTTGGCGGGAGCCATGCAAGAACGCAGAAAATGCTGTAAATACCAGTACTTTTTGGACCCGAGATGCACAAAACACTGCAAATACCAGTGTTTTTGAAAGCCAAGCAAAAAAACATTGTAAATTACAGCATTTTTGGCGGGTTGATCGCAAAAAATGCTGGTATTTACAATGTTTCTGCAATTTCAAGCAAACGTGGAAGGCACGAAACACTGTAAATAGCGGTGTTTTGGCAACTTTTGGACGCCGAAACGCTTGTATTTACGCAGTTTTTTGCTTGTGACGGGGCCACTCCCCTGTAAATTACAGCATTTTTTGCACTTTTTGAACCGATTTTTTGTCTTGATGAATGCAAAAAAACGCTGGTATTTACACGTTTTTCAAAAAATCGAAGATCGTGATGTGAACGAAACTCTGTAAATAAGAGTGTTTTAGCCACTTTCGGGGACTAAAACTGTGGTATTTACACGGGTTCTTACCATCTCACAGCACAAAATGCTGTAAATTACAACACTAGGCATAGGCCAACATAGCCTCAAGATGGGCCAACATAGCCCCAAGATGTGCCAACATAGCCCCAAGATAGGCCGCCGACCCTCAGCATGTCATGTTCGCAAGTTCAGATGACATCCCCCTCTCTCTTTCCCTCCCCCGACCCCTACCGGCGTCGCCGGTGTGCGAAGCTCTACAATAAACAATCAACAAACAATATCAAACAATTATAAATCATATCATTCACTAACTAATTCACAAACATTGCTTCACAACCCCTCAGGATATGATCATAATCTTTCTTCTTAGTTCATCTCCACAGCCGCCCGGGACTCCCATACCATGAGCATCAGCTGGCAACGGCCTTATTCACTCGAATAAAGCGCGCAGCTGCATCTGCCTCAGAACCTCAGTGGCCGCAAGGGAAATACTTGGTGACACAATTCGTGCTTCTGATTAGCTTTGATTTAATGTCTCGGCCCTGAACATTTGTCTGGATGCAATTGAAGTGCCTAAGGTGGCAAGTGGGCAAGCAACAACTGCCTCGTTCGCCGAGCAAACAACAAAACATGGACACTTAGCAGCCGGAGAGAAAGAAAGAAAGAAAGAAAAAAAGAAAGAAAGAAACAAAGAAAGAAAGAAAGAAAGAAACTGCAAAACAAAGAAGCGGACAAAGCGACTTCTTTGTATCTATGTTCAACAAGCTCTCAGTAGGTGGACTGGGTCTAGAACCAGCCGGCGGTATGCTCTGCGCAATTCATCTGCAGGGGCACTTCCTCAAAGTTGCACAGTTGCACAGCTTTGTACAGCACAACTTTGTGCAGCGTGCACAGTGCAAAGTAAGTTTGATACTAGAGATTCCGAGCTCATCATAGTGAGTCCTTGCAAAATCTAGAATGCACAAAATGCACAAAACAATGCCGCTCTGTGGTTCAACAGCAGGAAAGAGGTCTTGCAAACACTTGGCTTCGACTTGACCACGTGGTGGTAGCGAAATGCAGCAAACGTCTCATGTTGGTTGAAGCTAACTTGGAGAGGCAAATCTGCGGAAGTACATGGTATCGGAGTGGATAGCATGATTTATGGTTTATGCAAATCTCTGTGACAGCGGTGTGAAGCACCAAACGACAGCATTGCAAGCAGAGTTCAGTGAATTGAGTCCTCTCGGAAGCTGCCACCTGGCATGCAAGGCATTGTTGATAATTGGTTGCCAATACACTATACTAATAGATGTTTAAAATATTTTAAAATCACCTCTGCGGCAAACACCAAATTGTAAAAGGCTCTGATGCTTCGCTGGTGAGCAACATTAAGCAACTAAATGTCCAATTGCTGTCCCACTTGTTGCAATGGCTGCACCAGAATGCTTTAGACAATTTTCGTGACAACATTCAGAAAAATGCCCTGACAAAATTCTATTTTAAAAAACAAAGGGGCTCAAGCCAAGACCACGCAACTCTGTGAACTGCCTGCAGAGACATTGCCGGAAGATCACCTGTGCCAAGCCGCTGGAGTCATTGGCACATGCGAATGATTGCGAATGTGGAATCGGATCCGCATAGCAGCAGTTTGAGCGCCACACGTGTGGTGTGAGATGTGGCAGTTGGCATCAGTTTGCATGAGGCACATTGAGGCACATGAATTCATGCACTTGGGAGCAGAAATGGTGGCAGTTGTGCGGAACAAGTACAACAGTTACAACAGGTATTTGTTTGTCAGAAGCGAGATGTGCCAGTGCACACGGTACAAACGTCAAACACAGCTAACACCACCAGTTGCTGATGTGCGCATGGCACTGGATTGATAGCATTTTTCTATATTTTTGAGGCCATGGAGGCGCTTCCAGCTTGGTGAAACTTCTTGTGGACCCAGCTTCGCACCAGTTGCAGGAAAATACGACGAAGGTCAAAGAGGCCAGCCACTCATCCCAAATGTCTCCCACTGTTTTCTAAGCGTCAGAAGAGGATGCCCGATAAAACATGTCACATGTCAACAAAATTCAACAAATGTAGAATAGCATGCGTTGATCTGTGAATTATGTTATTTTTGGACAGGTGCACACAGTGTTCTGTCAAGCAAAATCTATCGCAGCGCTCCAAGCATGTTGCTGAGGCTTCTCATTGAAGATGATCCGGAGATGCCCTGACAAAGAGAGCCGACATCTCGACAGCTAGTGTCTTCACTGCTGTTGACATCTATTGACCATCATCAATCCTCTACATCACGCGTATATCATTTTTCTCGGTAAAATTTCTGTGATGGGGTACACTGGCAAGTGCAAGTAAGTGCAAGCGGACGCGACATATCCTATATATATATATATTCCTATATCATATCAAATTATACAATGTAACTGTAACTATAGTTTATATATGTTTATATATGTTACTTTGGTACACATTGTAGCATCTCACTCATAGGCTCATAGAATCTCATAGATCTAATTTGGATTTAGAATCTCATAGATGTAATTTGGATTAATTTGGCATGCACTGGGAATTTGACCTCTCAATTGCCCTCCACATGTTGCAGGCAGTACAGCGTGCACACCTTGAGCAGCGCACGAGTCTTTCGGTTGGCATCTGCCTGCCAGAATCATGAGCCACCCCAAAGCGCCCAAAGTCCATTTTGATACGCTACTTTGCTATGACTTTACCCCGAGCCACGAGCTTGTGATTTTCTAGGGAGACTGTTTATATCATTTTATATCTGTTGAGTTCTGTATAGTTCTGTGTCTTCCTACCATTGTCTCGATATCACCCTGCCACCTCCAAAGTTTTCTTGTCCCAGCGGGGGCCAAGGGCTTTTGACAATCCATCAGCAGCTTCCTCGGAATCCAAATGCATCCAAATATGCTTGTAGTACTGTGCAAGGTGCGCTGTATGCTGTATCCTGCATTGCTACCACTACCAACAGCACCAACAGCAAACCTGCCTTCATGTACGGATCGTCGTCGCTAATGTCATCATTGCCAATCATTGAACTGCAGGCTGCGCGAATGCAAGCGATCAAGTCAATACGCTCACGGAGGTCTAAGAGCGTATTGACTGCGAGATGAACGACATTTGCTTTACCAAAAGCACACATTTGATAGCATGCAATAATCACAGCAATCTCTGATGATTGCTACTAGGAGAAAGCAGAAATGTCTTAGTGCAGGCCGCGACAAAATGTTACGTACGTGACTATGTGTGTGGTGAGTTTGGACCAGCACAATGAAGTGACTTTCTCCATATCCTGCACCTCTCTTTCCATGGAGCATCTCCATCCTTGCCCTCCGTCATCATCGAGTGCATCTGCTCGTGCAAGGAACCCTGACAGCAAGACATGTTCATAGATTATCATATATAGATGTTCATGGATGTTCATGGATGTTCTACGACGTTCACTGATTTTTTTATTGAAGGGTGGACAGCACCTCTCTGAAGGGAGGCTTGACAAGTACAGCCTCGGCTCTGCCAGGTGCGAAGCAGAGCAGCATAAAAACAGCAAAGCCACACAGTACAATAAAATTGGCAAAGGGAGACAAACGGGAGACAAACAGTGCACTGCTGAGGCTTGCTCGCTGCTCAGAGCCAGAAAACATGCTATTCGCCAGAACATGTTACCTGGCAGCTCACAGACATGCTACTCTTGCAAGACACATCAGGCCAAGAAAATGAAGTACTCGATGTTGGCACATGTTGGCACACAAATCAGTTCTTTGCTCTTTGCTTCGCTTGAAATTGCAGAAGCGTTGTCATCTACACTGTCAAAACGCTCTGGGAATATAGCCCCTGGCAATAGTAGACACAACATAGTTAGAAGGATCCCGGAGGGTCTCATGCTTCTCCGCAACTGTTTCCAACAGCTCAGAGGCATGCATGGATGGGAGTGTGAGAAGCGCTTTCACAGCATCCTCGCTCAGGTCTAATGCCATTGCTTCGGCCTTCTGCATGCCGGGTGTTTCCATGAGTGCAGCAGCAGCTGCTTGTACTTGCGCCCCAGATAGCTCCGTAGTTTGGAGGTTTGTCTTGGGCTTCCCTATGTGAATAAAGTTGCATGCGTCACCGTATTTGCACCAGCCGCTCTTTGCAAAAAACTGACAAGTTTCTTGATCACGGCCTGGGCCACTTCTAGGGTTTCCTGGTGCCACTGGACCTGATCCTGGTAGATGCAGATATTTGCAGCTGTTTCCATACTGGCACCAACCTGACTTGGAGAAAAACTGGCAGGCCTCTCGAGGCCCTCCGTTGGATTCATTGGGTCTAGCTTCGCCAATATGTTCATGCTTGCAATTGTCTCCATATTTGCACCATCCGGACTTTGTGAAGAACTGGCAAATTTCTCCAGACTTTTCCTGTGGAGCTTCAGCACCCTCAAAGATGTGCTGATATCTGCAAAGATCACCAAATTTACACCATCCGGCCTTGCCAAAGAATTGACACACTTCATCAGGTTGGCTCAAACCATTGGTTTTTGCGACGATGGGTGTGTCATGGCCGTTGATGTGCTCATACTTGCAGCCATCACCATATTGACACCAGCCCGATTTGGCAAAAAAATTGCACGGCTCACGTTGAACGGTTATTTCATTTCCATCAATGTGCTCATGTTTGCATTTATCGGCATATTTGCACCAACCTGATTTTGTAAAGAATTGGCACACCTCACCAGATTTCTCAACTGTTGGGCTCACCCCAACGGGAGTTTCTGGTCCATGAACGTGTTGATATCGGCATTCATCTCCCCATTTGCACCAGCCTGATTTCTTAAAAAACTGGCAAACTTGTCCAGTTCCAGGAGAGACAGGGTAGGGTTCTGATCTCAAACTTCCGAGTTTGCCTGAGATTGGTCCAAATACCATTTGGGATGGGCCACAGCAAAGCAGGCCTGCCTTTGTTTGTTGATGTTTGTTGTTATCTACATGACTCGAGCCTTTCTGCGTTGCTCATAATATGTCTATGAATCTCTTGCTGGAGAATCGATGTTGGCAGTCCCAGGCAGTCCCATTGTTCCATCTTGGTCCGTCTTGGTCCGTCTTGGTCCGTCTTGGTCCGTCTTGGTCCGTCTTGGTCCACTTCCTTGCTATTGCGAGAAATTGCCCAAAATTGCTCTGCGGTTCTTTTCGGTTGTCTGCATCGTTTACGGATCCAGCTTGGTTTGCTAGAAGATCTCACATTCACCAGCTGGTGACAACACTACATGACCATCCTGTTCCGAGATGCGTTTGCATGAGGTGCAACACTCAAAAGTGTGCTGGTAGTTTGCCTTTTGACCGGGCACGCACTAGCACTGCAACACTACAATCTAGGCATATCTAATCATATCTAGGCATATCTAGGCGCAATAGGCGCACTATAAGATCAGCCTTGCGGGGTGCAGGTGCAAGAGTTGGGCGTCGTTGATACAAAAAGGATTCTGGTGTTACGACATGTTACGTCATTTTGAGTGGTTGGCGGTTTCATTTCATTGCTGCAAGTACTAAATGACAAAACTATTTTGTCACTGTCAGCACGTTTCAGGTTCTATTTTGAACGCATGGCAGCACAATCTTTGCAACGTGGCCTTGATCAAGGCTCATCCATTCGTATCGATGTGCAGTGTGTTTGCAGATTTTGCAGTCCTTTAACGTCCTTTAGCTTGTCACATCGCTCTCCTGTTTTGAAACAAACTGACGGTCAGCCTCGCCGCGCAATTGCGGCTCCACAGCCTGTGACAAGTGGACTGCACTGCGCATTCGCTGCCGTCCCTTCAACAAATCAGGAATGAAAAGTGTCACATGTTCAACGACCGGTCAAATGGAATTACATCATTGCACCTTGCCCTGTCTGTCGGCAAATCGGCTGGGTGCTTCGTTCTACAACGGCTGCAGCACCACGTCTACATGTAACGCTAGCAATTTGAAACGATATGCAAAGCTGAGAATAGGACACATCATGTACTGTATATAGAACACATTGAAACCTTTGCCTGTTTTTTCCAAAGTCAAAATCTGATGACCTTTTCTGCGATGCAACCATTTCTCTCAAGCTGCAGGGCTTTAAAGAATCCAAGTGAGCCATCCACGTTCCTAGATGCCTATAGGGCCTATGTAGCTCCTCGGACAGCAGGTTGGAATGCATCAGCTGTAGCTACAGTAGGTGGCCTCTGTGTCGTTGACGCCGTAGCAGGATGACGCTGAAGAAGGTTGGAACATCCGCAAGTTTTCAGATCATTTCAGATCGTCCTTTCCCCATCTTTTCACGCATCCATGACTGGAAAGAGTTCTTTCCACTAGAGTTGGCTTGCCATATGCTTGCCATATGCCCAGCATCTGGGAGACCATGTCAATTCTGGCTCAGTCTGCCAAGCATATTTAACGCGTTTATGAGTTCACTTCCAACTTGGCAAAGAGATGCAAAGAGACCATGCAGATGACACTGTTGGCACCCGATCTTGAATGTACACGAATAAATCACCACAGAGCTCCATCTGCAACTCGGGACATGGTGTGGTCATTCGCGTCCCATTTCACCCAACTGCCAATACCAAGCCGCACACAATGAACTTGTTGTCTATGAAGTATCAATCCCACATCGACATGATGTCAACCCACTCCTGCAACAACAACCCTGGCAATTTGATGCAAATTGTACGAGTACTTCCATTCATCCAGAAAAAAACATGATAAATCCTCTCTACATCTGAAATCACAAGCCGAGTACGTCTCTGTGTGGGTGTGAGTCGGTGTGAGTTGCTTCTGTACACATATTGGAAATATACAAGAATTCGGCAAATGTGTCCAATGGAATCCAAAGTTCTGTTCTCACACGCTTTCTCCCTGTCAATGGCATGTCGCTCCCTCGGCGTTTTTTCAGGGGTTTGGTTCAGAAAAAAATAAATCCAAACTTGCTGAGGAAGCTACATGTCCCTGAGAAAACACAAAGCACCGGAGTATGAGAATTTACAGTACAGGGTTCAGTGTTTTTCTCTCCCTCAATGGCACGCCGCTCCCTCAGCGGTTTTCGATAAACACATGATAGTTTTAAAAAATAGCAAACCCCCTGAGCGAGATACATGTTCTGAAAAACAGCGTTTCTGAGCGAACATGCGCATCAAGACTTCCGAGGAATCCAATAGAATTTAATGGGAAAAAAATGGAAAGAACGGATGAAAGAACTATTGAAGCAGTTGAAGCACAAAGCCCATTTGAAGCCCAGACCGCTGGTGCCTGTGTTTCTTCATGTTCAGGTCCATGGCCTTCCCACCAGAACAGTCCGCTGAATTGCATTCTAGATACAAACTATACGTACACAAAACGATGCTAGCAATTGAGACGAGATTATGCAAGATACAATGTACAAGTAGCATCAAGTAGCATCAAGTAGCTTCAAGTAGCATCAAGTAGAATCAAGTAGCATACATACGGCATGTGAATCTAGATTTGTGCCATTCAGCGGTTTCTTGAGCCCCAGGCATATCATGGCACTCTTGAGACCGAGCTGTGCAAAACGGGGAGCTATCTCGTTGTCATTCAAGTCCAAGGACGCTCGATATCCGAATTTGCAAGCTTCCAACTTGTAGCTTTGCCTCAACGCGAGGGCCACTGAAACTTTGAAAAGGCGACACCCTCTAGAATATATTCATATCAATCAATCTATCAATCTATCAATCTATCAATCTGTCTATCTGACTATCTGTCTATCTATCTATCAATCTGTCTATCTGTCTATCTGTCAATCTGTCTGTCTATCTATCTATCTATCTATCTATCTATCTATCTACCGATCGATCTATCGATCTATCGATCTATCGATCTATCTATCTATCTATCTATATCTATCTATCAGTATCTATCTATCATTATCTATCTATCATTATCTATCTATCATTATCTATCTATCATTATCTATCTATCATTATCTATCTATCATTATCTATCTATCATTATCTATCTATCATTATCTATCTATCACTATCTATCTATCATTATCTATCTATCATTATCTATCTATCATTATCTATCTATCATTATCTATCTATCATTATCTATCTATCATTATCTATCTATCATTATCTATATATCATTATCTATCTATCATTATCTATCTATCATTATCTACCTATCATTATCTATCTATCATTATCTATCTATCATTATCTATCTATCATTATCTATCTATCATTCTCTATCTATCATTGTCTATCTATCATTATCTATCATTCATTATCTATCAATCATTATCTATCAATCATTATCTATCAATCATTGTCTATCAATCATTATCTATCAATCATTATCTATCAATCATTATCTATCAATCATTATCTATCAATCATTATCTATCTATCATTGTCTATCTATCATTATCTACCTATCATTATCTATCTATCATTATCTACCTATCATTATCTACCTATCATTATCTATCTATCATTATCTATCTATCATTATCTATCTATCATTATCTATCTATCATTATCTATCTATCATTATCTATCTATCATTATCTATCTATCATTATCTATCATTATCTATCATTATCTATCAGTATCTATCATTATCTAGCATTATCTATCATTATCTATCATTATCTATCATTATCTATCATTATCTATCATTATCTATCATTATCTATCATTATCTCTATCTATCATTATCTATCATTATCTATCATTATCTATCATTATCTATCATTATCTATCTAGCATTATCTATCTATCATTATCTATCTATCATTATCTATCTATCATTATCTAGCATTATTATCATTATCTATCATTATCTATCATTATCTATCATTATCTATCATTATCTATCATTATCTGTCATTATCTATCATTATCTATCTATCTATCTATCTATCTATCTTACTTATCTTATCTATCTATCTTATCTATCTTATCTATCTATCTATCTTATCTTATCTATCTATCTATCTATCTATCTAAAGGTATTCTATATATATATGACATTATATTCCATTTAAATCCTTTCAATATCTTTCAATATTTTCAAGTAGCCTCTGCCGTGCGACTAAATCCTGTTTTTGCAATTTTGCGCAAGTGGCATTTCTGTCGGCTCTTGCGTTCTATCTCTTGATATATCCTGTTATCTTATTGATAATATGTTGATTGAATTATGTGGATATAGTGCTTGTGCGCTGATCTTGCAATTTGTGCTGCCAGCCAAAGAAGCTCCCGTTGGAACGGGAACGACAACAAGAACCATGGTGCCCAAAACCCAACACCTTAGACGAATTCATCCTTGTTGCGCACTGATGTGTTCATCATTGTAGAGCTTCAGGAGTTTTTTGGCAATCCGCAAGGTCCGTCCTGAAGTTCTGCTGGAGTACAGCAACGCTGAAAGTTCTCCCAGGCGTAGCCTTCTCCTGTCGCTCTCGGAGAAATCTTTGAGGCAGCAGACCTCACATCTGCATCGGAATCGCCAGTTTTCCTTCAAAAGTTGCTGCCGCACTTGGCGAGGCTCTCGCAAGTCAATATACGGAATGCACAGCTCCTCTCCTGCTCTGATGATAGTCTGAGCATAGATGTCCATGCAATTCTGCCTGTCTCTCCAACTGTAATCACAATTAGCATTGCAAGAATGGTTAAAACGGCTCACTTCGAGGAAAAGTGCTTTCGGGTCTGAGTCTGATCCACTCTCACACACCATGCCATTTGTCTCCAATATGCCACGAAAGGTTTTGGTGTCAAACGAAAATGAATCCTCCAGGCTCAACACTTTCTTTCTCAAATCATCTGGCAAATTTGCACACTTCCGTTCAACCATTCGCAGGCTGGCATCTGAGCTTTCAAACTTGCAGAGCGGCTCTTCTGTCAGAACAAGTTCTCCGGGATGAAAGTCCTTGCAGGCTACAGCACCCAAACCGCTACCTTCAACTTCCACAATCTCGAAGGCTTTTCCTTTCCTGGCATGTTTCGCTGAGTTTGGAGCTAGGGCTCTCAGTGTTGAAGTTTGGAAAGGTCATGCTTTAGTTTGGAAAGGTCATGCTTTAGTTTCCTGCCTACCAGATCCTATCAGGGTCTATGGTGTCTGCATCTACTATCCTGACAATGTCTTCCATGCTGTTCGACTATCAGGAAATGAAGAACATGATCGCCTGCCTCGCACACTTGCAGCATCTTGTTCTTTGGAGGCCTGCAATGATTCAACACCAAACAGTCCAGTGAAGCAGAAGGAGCTTGTCCAGACGAACGTTGCAATTCAATATAATTCACACAGTCCAGGAAGGGCTAGATCAGATCTATTGACGCAATAAGTCCATGCGCATCCAGCGCCAGACACAAATACAACACTCGTATAATACATGCTGCATGATGATCATGACCATGAATCACCTATGAAACACTATCCCTGGCCTTCCAGAAACAAACTTGCAACGGCGATGGGTAAGCCACACACTCGAGTCGCTGGAGCCCTGTTTGGGGGTTCGCCTGACAGCTTCTGCCACAGCCACAGGGGTCTTGACCCTCGGTCCACGCCCGGGCGCCAAGACAAGTCCACGAAGATGGGTGCGGATGGCGCGGTGCCCATGAACGATTGCCCAAGCATGTCAAGTCACAAGGGAGCAACAGGGTGAAAACGGGATCACCAGAGCCTATTTTGGAATCTTTTGTCACCTTAAAATACCTTAAGTGTTTGCGGGAAAGGCAAGTTAAGAATAAATTGAAAAATCTCTGGTGATACCTGCTGATGGGAAAACTTACAGCCTCAACTGAAGTGCCTTGTGTCGAATTGAGTTGATTGATTTCGACTGGCTTGAGATAGCTTGAGAGATCTTGAGATGTCGTCAAGATCGGCCAGACATTTGCAAAATCCCAATTGGAAAGAAAAACATCAATGGATCTTTTGATATTTTTGATGACCATTGACCATTAGACTAGAACATTCTTCCCATAGGACTTCCACTATTCAACATGTTAATATGAATCAAAGTGAGTGAATGCGCATCTGTGCCAAGCCTGGCCAAGCCTTCTTTCTAATGGTGTGAGTTTTTGCTCTGCTGCCAGTCTGCATTTGTTTTCGTGTGACTTTGCACACGGAGGCAGAAGGAAACTGCAGTACCTTTGCGCACAGAAAACGCAGATCTTCTGCGTCCACTGTGACAAGCTCATGAACTTGGCAATAGCAGGCAATAGCAGGCAATAGCCACCAATTGCTCGAGCTTCCTGCCCAACGGGGTGTGAAAAATACGTTAGTTTCTGGAACTCATTCCTTGTTCATATTTTTTTAATATTACTTATGTATATATATATAATATTACTGTAGTTACGATGATTAAGACCACTAGAGGCAGCATGTAGCAGCCAGGTCCGTAATGAGATGCAATGAAGATTGCGATACCCATTTGTGCTGTCAGTGTCGCTGTGTCACTAATTACATAAGTTCATCCATTAATCATCATATAAATCTACGTACATATATATTATATATTATATGTGACCCTACATGGAGCCCTCTCTCTCTCTCTCGCGCGATTCTCCATGGTCACACATGTATGAGACATGCTGCAAAGCTGCCCAACGCACCTGCTTCCGCAGCTGTTTTAGCTCATTTGGCAGCTTTCTCGCGGAGCATAGCTTAACTATACCTCCACCATTGAGATCCGATGAGTCTCTCACTCTGTGCCAAGAGCTTCTGAGTGAAACGAATCGTTGTGCCATGCACAAATCTAAATGGCTGTCGGACAATCAGCGCTGGCAAAGCGAGAACCAGGGATGTCAAACTGTGAAAGCTGCCAGTAGAATCCTGTGGATGCGCGCTGATAGCCGATGCAAAATTGACCGCTGATCTGTGAGATCATTTACAGGCAGATCAGGATAAATCTGCTAAAGTGCAGGAGCACTAACAGCATTCCGGGACATGCGTCCATTCCGAATCAGAGTTCAGCTCGCCTTGACAAAAGCCATCTCTTCCAGAACGCATTGAACATGCTACTTACAGAAAGAAAAAACATGTGAGAGGTCAGCAGTGGAAATGCACGAGCATGTTCATCTGTCTGCACGTCTAGATCAATAGGTGACAACTGGTGACAGCATAGTTGACAGTCTGTTGTGTTTGTTGCGAGCGTTTTTAAAAATGCGTAAAAATGATTAAAAATGCCGTTTCTATCCGTTTCTGCCCTAGTTGGAAACGTTGGATGCAGTCTTTCCTTGGGACCTCTAGGAAACCTTCTTGAACCCCTTTCCTTGAAAAGTGTCCAAAGCTTCTGGATCGTCAGATCCTTACAAGTTTCACCTTGGTCGGACCATCTTGGACCACCGTCCACCTTCTGAAACTTCTGTGAGCAATTTAGGCTGGAAATTTTGGAGCATCTCGCAACGTTACAGAATAGTAGGCAGACTTGCAGAACGACCTTCCAGATTCACCTGGAACCTCTCGGAACATTTCCGGATGTTCCAAAGCACAGAGCTCAGAACAGACCTTCAACCCCTCCATTCCTTATATTCCTTCCAGAACCTGATCCAGGTGCCCAGGCCAGGCAGGGCTGCGCTGGATTGACGCAGCATGCATTTTAGGGTGTATGTAATGTGTAATTATGTCTTTTTCATTCTTTTCATATTTTTTCTTTTGCTTCTTGCAGGGAAGTGCTTGTGCCCCTGCTGTACTAATCTCAAATAATTCAATTCTAAAGGGTGTTCCCTTTCAAAAGGACCTGAAATGCCTTTGCCCAGCACTCACATGAAAACTGCTGTACAGTCCTGGCTATGCCAAGTTATAAACACTGCCAACAGCACTGGGCAGCTCTGCTTCAGGAGGTGCTCAGGGGAGCTTCGCTCACACCAAGCACAGCATGTGACTCACGAGTGTACCTGGATACAGTCCATTTTGGCTGGAAGGGTCCACTCACTGTGAACCTCTGAAATATGGGGCCGAGGCTTCAGAACCAGCCGTCAGCTGCTCCAACTCAGATCTCAGCTCTTGGTTCTGTTGCTCCAACTGCTTTCTTTCAACTCGGTGGCGCTCAGTACTCAGCGTGGACTGCCACTTGCACTGCAATCATCTGTTCAATCTGTCCAATCATCTGCTCAATTTGAGGACCTTGGATCGCCAGAGCATTGGACTCATTGGGCTCATTGGCCTCCTCTCCAGGCAAGTTCACATGGGGGGCTAGCGTCCCCTGTGCTGTGGAATCTGTGGAATGAGTATGTCAAAGTCGCCAGCATTCTTTTTGACCTTCTCCTTGCTGGTTTGGGAGATCGCCAGCTTGTTGAAGGAGTAGGCCACCTCCTCCAACCATCTGATGGACTCGTATTGAAGCTCAGCTTCCCTGTTCTTCTTCTCCGCTCCATGAAGTTCCCCTGCTGGTGCAGGGCTACTTCCTTCGCATCCCTCTCAAAATCTTTGTTTGTGCCAGAGCAGACCTGCCACTAAACACCTCTTTTCAAGGATTCTGCCAGCTCTGTTCTTCTGATCCTTGGCACGTGCGTTCACCAAGCTCAGCATTTTTATGAATTTTCTTCCTTCCTCCCTTGCTCAGCTTTCTCACCAACTTGGTGGACAACATGGAATTCGTCCAGGATAGCAATGATCTTGTTGAGATTCATGGGCAGTCCATTTTGAAGGATCAAGGCTCCAGAAACTCCCAACCATGTCTGGAAGTACTTCGTGACGAGCTGTTTTGTCAACTTGTCATATTCCTCCACCCTTGCAGCTCGGCACGAAGAGCTGGAAATGCTTGCAGCGCGCAACACCTCGTCGACTCTCAATTGGTGGGGATCTCCAGCAACCTCGCAGTCTGTCACTTCCTTTAGCTCTGCAAGCTGTGATGAGAGATGGTTCTCCATAGCCCAAAGCAATTGCATCAATTTTGTTGGCTTCCGAGCCGAATTTTGCTAGGGTCACTTTTGCGGTTGTGGCCTCCTGCTCGAAGTGTTCCTGTCCACTTTCAGCCTCCTCCTTCAACTCCTCCACACGGTCGGACTCGCCACTTGCGGGTCACTGGGAGGCTCCAAGTCTTGAATCTTGCAAGCATCGCCTAAGCAGGCCTGAGAATGAATGCTGGTTTGCCAGATCCCCAATGATTCTCAATGTTGAATTGGTCAAATGACACTTTGACCTGCTTCAGTCTCTTGGCCACATCCTCCTTAACAGTAGTGTATAACCTTCAGCAGGACATTGTTGGCCTTCTTGATAGACTCTGACTCTGCCATGGCTTCAGTTGACACATGAGCTGATAGACCAGAATGCATATATACAGATGCATATATACAGATATCATATGGATATATTCTTGGAAGTCCTGGCAAAGCGGTCAAACAGCGAGAATTGCCAAATATTGTCAAATATTCCTAGATTCCAGAACAGGTATGAAGATGCAAAGCTGACAGAACGTCTTCAAGCAAAGTTAAACCTCTGGGGCTCAGGCTTTTCAAACAGACGCCTCTCCGGCCGCTGGAGGTATGATATTGGCTTGTGGCAGGAATGGCGACTTTGAATGACTTTGACTGGTTTCAGTTTCAAGTCAAACTTCATATTGCCCAAAGCATGATGACATTCCTGATATTTGATGATAGTTCATGATATTTGCCATGATATTTGCCCATTTTCGGAATTGCCTTTGCAATCGCCACACCATTCCAAGTTGGAACTGCCCGTCTGTGTGGCTCCTGATCGACATGCAGCTCTTGGAGCTCCATGGTCTGCAGTACTTGGGTTGCCTAAGACTGCTCAATAATTGGATGTTTTTTAACGAACATAATTTACCAAATACTGTATTCCAAAATCTATGAATCTCATTGAATATCAATTAATGTATATAATGATTGTAGTGCAACTATGAAATATCATGAAATGGTATGAGTACGGTATAACTAAGATGACTAGCGGCGCATTTCCTGACCTGACATGGGTATTGCTACACAGGGATTCCAGATGACCTGAAAGCAAATTTCACTCTTCACGCCCGCTTCGCAGCCGTGATAGCAGTTCAGGTCCAGTTGAAACGGTGAAACAGGTACACGCCCATATTCAAGCAATCAAAGTAGATTGAAGTAGATTGACAATGATGCTCAGGATGAACGTTGCAATCCTCGGTGTCATGGCTGCAGCTGCAACCGCTGCACTCCTACAGGAGATTTGGAGACTCTGCAGGCCACCGCCATAACACGTGTATTCTGGATCCGAGCAGAGATTGCACCCCGAAGGAAAGACTCCGGTGTGGCGGGGTTCGCCTGCACAATCTGCAGTGTCGTAGTGCTCAAAGGTGACGTTCCCACCGACCTTTTGGTGATGTCAAAGGCAGTTGAAGCTTGTGGGGCTCCCCCTAGTCTAGCTGAATCAACTTACTAGGCCATTGTTACCCAGTCTGAACCTCCCCAAACAACAACAGCGGTAGGCCGATAGGCCCAATAGGACCTCAAGCCAGAGTTCATGAACAGAAGTTGTCCAAAGAGAAGCAATCCGCAGCCAAACAGAAAAATACTTCTGCCCCACCTCGGAGCAATATGCCTTCACCCAATCCTCACCCATGAAGTTGCCGGGCGGGACGCATTCGAAATTCTGGTTGAAGTTGTATCCTCAGTTTGCCATGGGACTTGAAGATCAACGGGTGATTCGATTTCGGCAACGGTCTCACTTCAGAAAACCACAAAAAAAAGGCGTTATCAACAACAGCGAGCGACCAGGTGATTCTTGTTCTGAAACCAATCAATTCAGTAATCAAATGTAGACGATGTTGCCCGTAGAGACGAAACCAGAAATTGCCCAACCCAAGCCACTGTATCACCGTGGTTTGAATGGGGAGCCCTTTTGTCTTTTACATATCATATGATGCAAGAACCTCTAAAGCATCAGAAGCAAATGGCTCAGGCTCAAATACTGGACATGCTATGCCTGGAAAAGGTCCAAAAGTGGATCAATCAAGCTCACGAGATGCCTGTGGTTCGGCCAGAGCAGGCAGAGGTGGCATATTGCCTGCGATATGGCACAACGCTGCCACCAACAACCATGCCTGGCGTCTGCGGTCATCCGGGCAAGCCCGCAAAACTGTACACAGGCAGCCGGCATTCAGAAGGAAAAGGTGGCCCTGAAGTCTGGTACTGCAGACAATCCTACAAAACGGGTTCTTCCTGTAGTTGCAAGTTGTATCAAGTTGTCATGTAAACTGTTGCACAATGTTGCACAACAGCATCGTAACAAAACACTTCATACATGGTCCAATCGTGGTAAACACATGTAAACACAACAAACATTCCGATCATTCCGCCAAAGCCACACAGCAGTGGGACACCCAATTGGAAGACCATCCCGCAGAGTGATCGTTTTTGCGCCGTCAGCTCAACAGCACCGAGGGACCGAGGGTGGATGTTCCACCACGATCACATACGATCACAAACTGCTGCCCTGTGACATCTGAGCCAGATGTGCTAGTGATGTCGGGATCTGCCAAGAAGGGGTTGGCTTGTGCCGATCACTAGCAACGTCACTTGAGTGTCGTGACCTCGTAGGTGCCCATCCAGTCATGTTTGAAATACATTGAAATTGCGACAGAAATATATTGAAAAATTGATGAAATATAATGATTACATTGATATACATTGATTACATTATGATTACAATGCATCAACTATCATGAAGTCCGTAGGGAGGCTGCAGAGGAGCCAATCGATTCAAAGTGAGCCAACCTTCCATGATTAACAAGTCCGTTGCCTATACAATCTACGGTGTTTCTGACGTTCTCCTACCTTGCCGCTGCAATCACTCTTGCACTCCCATCTGCTTGGGGACTGCTGTTCAATGCTGTCCTGAGAGGCTTGCCGAGGCGTTCTGTTGCACTTGCGGCCAACCGATGCCCACCTGCAAGTGCAGAGGACCATTCTGACTTCAGATGATCACGGGTCGACTGGTTTGACAACACGTCGTGTGATACAAGTTACAAGTCTTCCGCTTCAAAGGATTGAACTTTGCAGCGGTTCACAACTTCACAAATGTTCACAATCTATCGCCAATGTTTTGGGTCATCCTTTTACTTACCAACATGGTCCAACATGAGTTCGTTCCGACATCTTGCGACATCTTGCGACATCTTGCGACATCTTGCGACATCTTGCGACATCTTGCATCTTTGGCATGCCTCTCAGGGCGAAGCTGAGGTTGTGCCTGAACACAATCTTGACGCCCACAGCCAGCATCGCTGATGTTTTGTCTGTGTTCAAACGATATCATACAGTAAGATGTTTTAAGAGCTTTCGAGGTTTGAGGTTAAGGAAAATGGAACTGGCATTCACTGGGTTAAACCCGGTCACAAAGGAAGTGCAACGCGAAGATCAGAGGTATTCACATACGTGTACATACACTGCTTCCAAGCCACTGCATTGCGAGTCTTGTACCTACACTTGGCAGAGTCAAGCAGTCAACTTAGACAAACACGTTCTATTGCATCTTGGCGTTTGTCTGGGGTTGTCTCAGCAGAGCAACAGGGGGAACATGCAACAAACGTTCTTTGCCATCCTACTGCTGCTTGCACGTTCCAAGAATGTGCCAAGCAATAGGTCCAACAAACCAATGGACCAACACCACAAGTCATGAGAAATGTGCCCGTGCCCATCCTATCGCGGACACTCTGGTCATAGAACATGCAGAATCACATTCTGTGTCAACTTCTGGCCGCGAATTAGGGTCGCCACCCTGACCATGCATCCAAATGCCATACAAGCGCTTTCTTGGACAAGACCACCTGACGGGAGACGGCGTCATGCGAAGTCTACATTGAGTTAAAATGTGTCTAAGTAAACGAAAGTCAAAGAACAGTTTAGCCACTGTGGGCTGTTTCTGACTTGCACAAGAGGCAGTTGGTGTAATTTGGCGCGGGTGACAGCAAACTAAATGCATGCAAATCAGATTCTAAGAAACCAAATTGCATGTGTCCAAATACTTCCAAATGTGGTCTGCACATGTTTCCCCATTTATCCCGAAGGCAGGCTTGTAAAAGTAGGGGAAGACTGCAACCATCATGCTTGCATGTTGTCGTCATGATGAGAAAGGCCCGGACATTCACAGCACAATGTTTGCCCATTCCAAAGTGATTTAAGAGAATAATAGTGAACAACATTGAACAACTATGAATAATTATATAATAGTAAAGGCTTTGGCTCCTGGGCTATTGCACTCTTTCGGGCCTTTTCAAGTTTCTCTTCTGAGCAAGGGGTAACTGAGTTCAGACCCACCTGGCGAAGAGGATGAAGCAAGGCAAGAGTTAGAAAATGACGGACAGCATCTTCCCCATCCAATAGAATCTAAGTCTTGAAATAGAACTGAAGTATCTTCCTAACATCTTGCAACCAGCATGAACCGGCTATGCCGGCTAGGCCAGCTATCCACGTTTGGATCCAAAATTCTTGCCTTGATGCCTCCACCGGCAACGTCAACCTGATTGGCTGAACAGTCTGATTTCTGAGGTTTGTGATGGTGTGATGGTTTGTGGGTAATTACTCTGAGCAGTGTGCTCGTCAAATCTACATTGAGACTGTTCAAGCGATTCTTCAATCTGAGGCCAAGGCAGAGTAAACTCCTTCATGCACTGAACGGACTCGACCTCATCTGAATGGTTTCTCCATGGAACGATTTTATATCCTGATGACTTATGTATCTGATTATTATCTGATTATTATAGTATCTGATTATTAAGTATGACAATTTTAGTATCTGATTGTATCTGTATAATTGGTATTCTGTCACACCTCTTCTTTCTTCCTGCCTGACGGTGGCCTGCAAATGTATGATTTGACAGAGGCGAATGAGGCGAATGCATCACCTTTTTTTTCTTCGCTGCTTCGAGCATCGAATGACTGTCCCAACTTTGGACCTCTTCGGAAAGTTGGATCCGTCGCTGCATCTACAGCCAGGCACCTACAAGGCTCCAAAGCCTGATGGCAGTGAAAAACTTGTGGCGGAATCTGGTAACCTGGTGTATTTGTTTTGGTATCATTGAGTCAAAGAGAAGTGCACTTGTGTGCACTTACATCCGCTTGCTTCGTGGTTGGGTGCTGCATTATCTGTGCAAATGCAAGCTTGGCAGGGCAAGCATTGCAATGCATTGCAAGCCCAGGGAGAAGTTCCACAGGGATTCTCCAGTGCTCAGGCCTTGGGCCAGTCGTTAATTCAGCAAAACGTCTCAAAAAGTGCACTCAGGCAGAAAGCGCTTGCTTGGCTCGCCTGCGGCTGCACAGTGAAATGCACCACGCATCACCACACTATCCTGGAATCGTACAAATATTCCATATGTTTCTTTATTGTATGCACATTGGAAATGATTGCACATGTTTTTTCCATCATTTGCAAGAATCTACTGCTGTCCCTGTCGCTCAAAACAAGTGCTTACTCCATCTTTCTCCATGACCCTCAAAGTCCCTCAAACCTTGGGGCCTTGCCTATGCAGCCTTCGCTGCCTTCGGCCCGTCATGCAGTGCTCGTCTGCCCCAGAAGTCTTTCTTCCAGTCCCAGGATGTCCCGTGCAAGTCATCAAGCCATCCCATCGCTCCGTAGTTGAAATTGAACTTCTCCTTGGAACCACAGCGAAACCAAACACATCTCTCAGAAAGTTGCGTTGGTCCCACTTCCAAATCCACAAATGCAGGCTAAGCTCATGATGAAAGTCATGGAAGTTTGGCTGGGCCTCTGCCTGCAAAGTGGCTCACTGATCAACAATGAAGGAAAGAAGGATTCAGCTCTCCAAAGGTGAAACAAGAGCAGGAGAACTTCCACCTGGAATGAGAAAAGGTCAATCCATGGCCATCGAATACCGCAATGGTGTGTCTGCGTGGCCATCACTGCAAATGCCATCCACACCACCTCAGCAGGACTACAAATACTACGTGATACTACAGCCCACTCCCTGGGCCAACTACGGAAACTGTGAGGTCCTCTTTCCGATCCTACCAATCTGCCAGCTGGGGTGCCAACACCAGTGAAGCCGTTCGTTCGGACTGCTACTAAGCCAGCTCCTAAAGGCCTGCAAAGTCAAAGGCTGCATAGTATATATATATATATGTATGCATGCATGCGTGCATGCATGTATGTATGTATGTGTATCTGTGTATCTGTATATCTGTATATCTGCATATATATATATATGTCGTGTATGTCGTGTATGTCGTGTATGTGTATGTGTATATATATATATATACATTCTACAAACAGTATACTGTATACATATGTAAATTATATGTATGCATGTAGTGTAACAGAACGTAACGTAACGTAATGCAATATAATGTAATGCAACGCATGTTCATATTAGTGTAATTAATGTAAGCACTGTATGTAATGTAATGTAATGTAAAGTAATGTAAACATAAATGTAAATGTACTGTAAATGTATAGTTAAGTGATGTAAAGTAATGCAATGTAATCTATATATATATATACATGCAACACTGCAACACCATGTAGTGTCAAATGTAGTTTACTATAATATACATAATGATATAGATATACATGTTTATATATATATATATGCAGAGAGAGAGAGAGTATCTTTTATAGTTAATGTATGTATTCTATATCATGCATGTATTACTGTATTATATTAATTTATTTTGTACATTTAGTTATGTGTAATATGTAATATGTAAATATGTGTAATATAACATGTTATACAGTAATATTTTATAACATGTTGTAACATGCCATAAGCGAGTCCAGAAGGCATTGAGTTTTGCTTGGCCCTTGCCGAACAATCGTCTGAGGGACGCGCATCAGATCTGAAAGGAAGAACTCAAGTGGATGGCAGTAGATCGCCGCCAGGCCCATTGGCGCCTGACACGAATTCCCCTCAATACCTTTTGTTTAAAGCGGCTTGCGTCTTGTTGTGCGGTTTGTTAAATTTCCGAGCAAAGAAGAAAAGTAGCATGACTTCATATGACTTCTGACTCAGGATGGGTTCCTTGCCGAGTTCGGATGATTGTCTTGAAGCTCTCCCTGCCTTGAACTCGTGATGGATCTTGTGAATGTGCCTCTCAACTTTTCTGGAAGAGCTTACAATGGAGATTGCCTGACTGACACAGCCCTTGCCTGTACAGGAACTTGTTTGCGTGCATGAGCCAATGTCCATAGAAGAACAGCACCTGGCATTGGCACAAAGACGGGTGGTAGTGGCAGCTTGCCAAAAAATACTGAAAACTCAAGACCTCTCTGCGAAATGTCCCAGCTGCCTCATTGCAGAGAACGCCAAAGCCTGCGTCAACTATAGCCAACTTTCAAAGCGTGCGTCACTGATGCAAAGGAAGTAAAGGAATATCTATCAAAGTGCAGGGATGCAAAATTTGTTGCGGCGCGCTGCTGCATTTTAGCCCTACATGTGATCAAAGGAAGTTTAGGGGGAGAAACTTCCGTGTTACGGACTTTTAGAATGTCAGGGAAAGAGTTAGTCAAAGAAAGAGTTAGTCAAAGAAACAGTTAGTCAGGGAAAGAGTTAGTCAAAGAAAGAGTTAGTCAGGGAAAGAGTTAGTCAAAGAAAGAGTTAGTGAGGGAAAGAGTTAGCAAAGAAACCGTTAGTCAAAGAAAGAGTTAGTCAAAGAAACAGTTAGTCAGGGAAAGAGTTAGTCAAAGAAAGCGTTAGTCAAAGAAAGAGTTAGTCAGGGAAAGAGTTAGTCAAAGAAAGAGTTAGTCAAAGAAAGAGTTAGTCAAAGAAACAGTTAGTCAGGGAAAGAGTTAGTCAAAGAAAGAGTTAGTGAGGGAAAGAGTTAGTGAAAGAAAGAGTCAGTGAGGGAAAGAGTTAGTCAAAGAAAGAGTTAGTCAGGGAAAGAGTTAGTCAAAGAAAAGAGTTAGTGAGGGAAAGAGTTAGCAAAGAAACCGTTAGTCAAAGAAAGAGTTAGTCAAAGAAACAGTTAGTCAGGGAAAGAGTTAGTCAAAGAAAGAGTTAGTGAGGGAAAGAGTTAGCAAAGAAGCAGTTAGTCAAAGAAAGAGTTAGTGAGGGAAAGAGTTAGCAAAGAAACAGTTAGTCAAAGAAAGAGTTAGTCAAAGAAACAGTTAGTCAGGGAAAGAGTTAGTTAAAGAAAGAGTTAGTCAAAGAAAGAGTTAGTCAAAGAAACAGTGAGTCAGGGAAAGAGTTAGTCAAAGAAAGAGTTAGTGAGGGAAAGAGTTAGTGAAAGAAAGAGCTAGTCAAACAAAGAGTTAGTCAAAGAAACAGTTAGTCAGGGAAAGAGTTAGTCAAAGAAAGAGTTAAAACTCTAGGATCGTTCCCTCACTGTAAATGGCATTGCAAGTGGTGCTGGTGGAGGAGTTGCCGATGGAGTTTTGGAGGAAGTCTCGCACGAAATGCGTTTTTGAGAGATAGCAGATGCACAAAACCCTATGTTTTTCCATACAAAGTCCGTCCCCGAACCTCGATGATCTACCTCTGCGGTGCGACGGGTGCGAGACGGTCTCGTGTGTGGTCGGATCATCCTCGGATCATCCTCGGATCATGGTCGGATCATGGTCGGATCGGTCTCGGATCGGTTCCGCATTGTAAATGGGGTTTCAACTGTGTTTCGTCTATGTGCGGCCGACAGAATTCCATTGTGAATTGCAACTGTAGGATCGTTCCCGCAATGTAAATGGGATTGCAAGTGGCGCTGGTGGATGAGTTGCCAATGGAATTCCATTGTGATTTGCAACTGCAGTATCCTTCCAAACAGTTAGTCAGGGAAACAGTTAGTCAAAGAAAGAGTTAGTCAAAGAAACAGTTAGTCAGGGAAAGAGTTTGTCAAAGACAGAGTTAGTCAGGATATATGAGGTAGTCAAAGAAAGAGTTGGCAAAGAAAGAGTTCGTCAGGGAAAGGGTTAGTTAAAGCAAGAGTTAGTTAGGGCATTGATTGTTCCCGCAATGCAAATGGGATTGCAAGTGGTGCTGCCGGATGAGTTGCCGATGGAGTTCTGAAGGAAGTCTCGCACGAAATGCGTTTTTGAGAGATAGCAGATGCACGAAACCCTATGTTTTTCCATACAAAGTCTGTCCCCGAACCTCGATGATCTACCTGCGGTGCGACGGGTGCGAGACGGTCTCGTGTGTGGTCGGATCATGCTCGGATCATGGTCGGATCATGGTCGGATCGGTCTCGGATCGGTTCCGCATTGCAAATGGGGTTTCAACTGTGTTTCGTCTATGTGCGGTCGACAGAATTCCATTGTGAATTGCAACTGTAGGATCGTTCCCGCAATGTAAATGGGATTGCAAGTGGCGCTGGTGGATGAGTTGCCAATGGAATTCCATTGTGATTTGCAACTGTAGTATCCTTCCCGCAATGTAAATGGGATTGCAAGGTTGCTTCTGCTTTGGCTGCATACGTAATACTATTGTCTTTTGCAGCTGGACTTCGTAAATCGTATTGGAGTGGCTGCATGAAGGCTGCGACAGTGATTTGTCAGCAGATTTTCTTCATTTAGGCGCTAGTGATTTTCCTTCTAAAAATCTTTTTAAAAAGTGCTTCAAAATCGTTTTTTTTCGCCCTGGCGTCGAGATCCGGTTTTGGAGCTACAATTTCCGCACTCCAATGCGCGTAGTTCTATTGTCTTTTGCAACTCAGTCTCTGCAGATTGCATTGTAATGGCTGCGTCAAGGTTGCTTCGTGCTGTGGTTGCATTCGTAGTCTCGCACGAAATGCGTTTTTGAGAGATAGCAGATGCACGAAACCCTATGTTTTTCCATACAAAGTCTGTCCCCGAACCTCGATGATCTACCTCTGCGGTGCGACGGGTGCGAGACGGTCTCGTGTGTGGTCGGATCATGGTCGGATCATGGTCGGATCATGGTCGGATCATGGTCGGATCGGTCTCGGATCGGTTCCGCATTGTAAATGGGGTTTCAACTGTGTTTCGTCTATGTGCGGCCGACAGAATTCCATTGTGAATTGCAACTGTAGGATCGTTCCCGCAATGTAAATGGGATTGCAAGTGGCGCTGGTGGATGAGTTGCCAATGGAATTCCATTGTGATTTGCAACTGTAGTATCCTTCCCGCAATGTAAATGGGATTGCAAGGTTGCTTCTGCTTTGGCTGCATACGTAATACTATTGTCTTTTGCAGCTGGACTTCGTAAATCGTATTGGAGTGGCTGCATGAAGGCTGCGACAGTGATTTGTCAGCAGATTTTCTCCATTTTGGCGCTAGTGATTTTCCTTCTAAAAATCCTTTTAAAAAGTGCTTCAAAATCGTTTTTTTTTCGCTCTGGCGTCGAGATCCGGTTTTGGAGCTACAATTTCCGACGCCGTTGCGCGTAGTTCTATTGTGTTTTGCAACTCAGTCTCTGCAGATCGCATTGTAATGGCTGCGTCAAGGTTGCTTCGTGCTGTGGCTGCATTCGTCTTACTATTGTCTTTTGCAGCTGGATCTCGTAAATCGTATTGGAGTGGCTGCATGAAGGCTGCGACAGTGATTTGTCAGCAGATTTTCTCCATTTTGGCGCTAGTGATTTTCCTTCTAAAAATCCTTTTAAAAAGTGCTTCAAAATCGTCTTTTTTTTCGCTCTGGCGTCGAGATCCGGTTTTGGAGCTACAATTTCCGACGCCGTTGCGCGTAGTTCTATTGTGCTTTGCAACTCAGTCTCCGCAGATCGCATTGTAATGGCTGCGTCAAGGTTGCTTCGTGCTGTGGCTGCATGCGCAATACTATTGTCTTTTGCAGCTGGACTTCGTAAATCGCATTGGAGTGGGTGCATCAAGGGTGCGACAGTGATTAGTAGTGCTGTGAATTATAATGAAAGCTTAATAGATGACATATGAGAAGGGACTAGATGAGAAGAGATGAGCTGGGATAAGGTGAGAAGAGCTCAGATGAGATGAAATGTGGAGTGTGAAGAGTGCAGTGTGAAGTGTGGAGCGTGAAGAGTGCAGTGTGAAGTTTGGAGTGTGAAGGAAGCAGTGAGAAGTGAGAAGTGTGAAATGTGAAGTGTGAAGTGTGGAGTGTGAAGTTTGGAGTGCAAAGAGTGCAGTGTGAAGTGTGGAGTGTGAAGTGTGAAGTGTGAAGGTTGGAGTGTGAAGAAAGCAGTGAGAAGTGAGAAGTGTGGAGTGTGAAGTGCAAAGTGAGAAGTGTGAAGTGTGAAGTTTGGAGTGTGAAGGAAGCAGTGAGAAGTGAGAAGTGTGAAGTGTGGACTGTGAAGTGTGAAATGTGGAGTGTGAAGTGCGACGTGAGAAGTGTGAAGTGTGGAGTTTGGAGTGGGAAGGAAGCAGTGAGAAGTGAGAAGTGTGAAGTGTGAGTGAAGTGTGGAGTGTGAAGTGCGAAGTGAGAAGTGTGAAGTTTGGAGTGTGAAGTTTGGAGTGGGAAGGAAGCAGTGAGAAGTGTGAAGTGTGGACTGTGAAGTGTGGAGTGTGAAGTGCGAAGTGAGAAGTGTGAAGTTTGGAGTGTGAAGGAAGCAGTGAGAAATGAGAAGTGTGAAGTGAGAAGTGTGAAGTGTGGACTGTGAAGTGTGGAGTGTGAAGTGCGAAGTGAGAAGTGTGAAGTGTGAAGTGTGAAGTTTGGAGTGTGAAGGAAGCAGTGAGAAGTGAGAAGTGTGAAATGTGGAGTGTGAAGTGTGAAATGCGAAGTGAGAAGTGTGGACTGTGAAGTGTGAAGTGTGGACTGTGAAGTGTGAAGTGTGGACTGTGAAGTGTGAAGTGTGCAGTGTGAAGTGTGAAGTGTGAGGTTTGGAGTGTGAAGGAAGCAGTGAGAAGTGAGAAGTGTGAAGTGTGAAGTGTTAAGTGTGGAGTGTGAAGTGTGGAGTGTGAAGTTTCAGTTTGGAGTGCGAAGAGCGCAGTGTGAAGTGTGAAGTGTGGAGTGTGGAGTGTGAAGTTTGAAGTTTGGAGTGCGAAGAGTGCAGTGTGAAGTGTGGAGTGTGGAGTGTGAAGACTTTGCTTCGTCTCTCGCTGAAAAAATCAAACGGTTGTCGAGGGAAGGACACGGTCGGGACAGGGTGTCTTTGAACTATAGGTCATTTATGTTTGGGAAACTTCCGCCGCCGGCTTGCCCGGGTCTATGTTATAATTTTACTAATCCAACTTCCCCAAAGCCAAGAAGACAGAGCAAAATGAGCCAAAGACTCGCCATGACTTGCCATGACTCACCCAAGGCCTATGTGAATAAACATCTCCCAGGGCCCTGGAAGTGCTGCTGGAAGTCCTCAGAGGAGACTGAACTACGAAAGGATGGATATGAATGGATGAAGATGATGAAGTGGTTGAGGAATCAGTAGACCGATCAAACAACGAACAATCAAACGAGATAAGTCTAGTGATTGGTTTTGGATGCCACAAGCAGCTGGGATGTGTCCAGCGCCGTGGATGATGGCAATACCAAAAAAGAGTCCAAGCGGAATGTAAAAGAGAAATGAACAACTGCTCCAGTACGGCACTGCACACTGCTTGGGTAGGTTTTATCTGATAACACGACAGTACTGAGTGAGAAACTCACTCTTTGCCACATTGGAAATAAAGCCAGCAACAGAACTGGCAGCACCTCAACCGGAGAGGCGTTGGTTCACACCAGAAATGTCAGAATGTTGCTCTGATTCGAGCGAACATACATTGACATACGTATATTATATAAGTTACGTATATAAGTATAAAAATCTACGGAGTTTTCATTATGCACTATATACCCTTTGCAGAGAAAAAACAAAAAAGATCAAAGAAGACTATACAGACTACAGAATTGATTCTATTGTTCATTTTCAAACCCTTCCATACATCCCTGGCTCGCAGCCGACATTCCGGGTCCGTATGTCTACGCGTTGTTCTCATTTCCTTTGAATTCCTTTGATTCGTGTCTTCCTTTCATCAGAAGCTATGCTGTAGAACTCGGTTACATATGGTTACATAAGTCGTGATGCACGTCTGTGCCTTTGAGAAGACTGTTTTCAAAAACTTGCTGGATGCGACTGCAGGCACCAGCAGGCACGTACGAGCCAGATTTGCCCTCAGCGGCAAGGTGATGCCAAGCAAGTCAAGAAAGACAGGTTTAGGTCGCTGTTGCTAGCCATTAAAGCTACTAGAAGACTTTGAAAGGGAACGCTCTTTACCAAAGGAGCCATACGCCGCCATGCGCATGAACAGATTTTGTCAAGCTTCATAAGAGTTGACAACTCTGGTCTGCTAGAAGGCCTGGCATCAAAATTTGGTTCATGAATTTCATGATCAGTTACTTTTGCATACTTTTGCAATGTTTTGCACAGTCTGCCAAGTCGGTTTGATTGCCATGTCATCGTCCCAAAAATTAGACACTGGGCCAAAGCTACAAAACTGTCGCTGCATCGCATAGCACATCAGCGTTAATCAGCATTGGCATCAAAAAAACAAAAAAGAGCTGGACAGGCTTCAAAGTTTGAATGCGGTAGCCAGCAATGGTCTGCGGGCACCACATCTCAACCTCAACTCAATCCGTCAAAGTCAAAGCAAGGATTGAATCAGGATCAAACCTGGAAGATCTGGAAAGTTTGCAAGATTGCTGTGATGCGTTTCATCAATGTTCATCAAGCTTCATGACATCTCATGACATGTGGTTGTCTTTGGAAGGGACCGCGTATAAGAGAAATCCGTGGTAAAGTAGACCACCACAAAGGTTGCCTCCACAAGTTCAGTTCCAGTGCAGCGGTATGACTAGTTCTGGGAAGGTTGTGCCATCTCGTTAAACTGGCAACGGAAAAAGCATTGAAAATCTGAGGAGCACACCCACAGCAGAATGGACATCATTGTGGGCCTGCCCAGTAGGATCAACCTCAAGCAATTCTGAGTTGCATAGAAACTGACCTAGCCGCCGCAATCTACTTCTGAAAGAAACATCTTCAAATTCTGTCTCAATTTCAAGAAGTTCAAATGAAGTTCAACAAGTTCAACAAATGCTCATCCATCCGTTCATAGCTAAGGTATCGCTAAGGTCAGGTCCCCAGGTATGGCCTCAGCTAAAGTCTCGATCTGTCCCGATACATGGCATTCAGTCCTATTTGTGTCAAACTGAGGAGATCACAAACTTTGGCATAGAATCCACCATGCTCAACCTCGACTTATAGAGACTTGCAAATGCCGGCGCTGACTTCATGCATCACATGGACTTCACAGGATCCATAGATCGAAATAGTTCGAAAGCACTGGAACCACCACGACATGGTGCAGGACGTTCTCCTTTCATATGCTTTCCCTAGCCCTCTTCTCCTTCAGGTGTTCGTCTTCTAATTCATTCTAACTTCATCTTCGAGCGGCCAAAGTCTTTCAGGGGGCGCAAAGACCACCAACGCGGCCAGCAGAATGACCAAGGGGCTCGGTTCCGGTGCCTATCACAGCAAGTAATTACTGAGCAGGAGCATGATGTGTTGACCCATGTGGACCCTTTCCAAGATGCTCAATAGGCCCAAAATGCCCAAAAGGCCCAACAGGCCTTGCTTAGCAAAATCAGCAGCCATAGCTTGGCAAACCACGTGCCTTCAAGTGCCTGTAGCGTCAGTCCACTTCATCAGATTCAAACTTCTGCATCAGTCCTTGTAGCGCCTATATGAGTCAAGCAATATAAGAAGTGGCAATAGCCATGCCTGGCCTCCTGCACTGGCATGAAGAGCTGCTTCAGTCTGTCTTCCATCAATATAATGGAAAACAGGCCACCCAACACCAGGGTCGCAGCGCAGGCATTGAATGCCGCACTCCTGGCAGTTGGAATCTTCCATGAAGAGTTGAATCAAGACATGGTATGGATCCCTTCAGCCCCTCAACACATTCACAATGTCAACTGTCTGTCCTCGCCATACCGACAAAATACTAACAACTGCTAAGAGCAACAACTATCAGCAATCAGAGGCCAACATTGTTCTGAGCCAAATGCAGCAGAGGCCCGGGCCATGCAAGAGTGAGAAGAATGGCTGGAGCTACATAAAATATCAATTGGTCAATTTAACAAGTTTCTTGCAGTGTCCAGACATTATCTTGCCAAGTCAGTTTGTGGACTGTGCAGAATGGGTTGAGGCTCCTGCCATAGAACGTTTTGTTCTGTGCAAAGAAAGCGACAGGAGTTCCCACCTTCATGCTGACTTTACTACCGTTGTGCTGTGAAAGCAAACCAGCCGAACATGGGTACAGGCGCCGCCTCCAACGGAGACAATTCTGGAGTCCTGCCACGTTTCATTCACATCACATAAGGTCAAAATCTATCGAAATCAAGTGATGACAGCACTTCCAGGCACCGGCTTCTACATATTCTATCATTTTCTACTGCACTCTTTCTGTTTTGATGTCGAAAAATAAGTAGTGCCAGCTGAACGAAACAGTGCGAGGCAAGGATGGTCTTGGGGACAGCTTTGTATGAAAAGCTCTGCTTTTCGAGATCTGAGCCTTGTTGCAACATCCGGTCGAACATGTTGCACAACATGTTGACATGCACCAAACATCAAGAGTTGTGCTACTACCATATGCTACTCGATATGCCATGATATGCCATGATGCTACTCATTGCTCATGATTCCGCTGGTGGCCACGGAAAGGCGCCTTCTGCAAATCAAGTTCACTACATAGCGTGACTGCATCAAGGCCAGCCTCGCAGGAATTTCCAGCCGCACGAGATTCGCGACATTCGTCACGAGATTTGATATGATTCAGATATGATCAAAGTATATCAAAGTGTTTGGATGTTTTTGGATGGTATAGATACAGCATGCTGCAACTGCCGCAACTAGCAACAGCATGCAGCAACAAGGCAAGCGACTGCATTCGCCCTTCCCCAGGTATGGAATCAGTCCAAACAACTCTGCAAAGGAAAAACTATGAAAGACTCTAATAACTGCAAAAAACTCTTGCCGGGGCCGGGTTGCTTCAAAACGAGGAAATCCACAGATCAGCACTTGTGCCTTGTCCCCACTTTTGTGCACGGGCTTTGCTTGTTCCATAGTCTCGAACTAGAGTCGGGCCTGATCGCCCCTAAGACCCTAAAGCTCTCAGATCCTTTCAGATCCTTTCAGATCCTTTCAGTACTGCGGCCCTTTGGGGACATAACCTTTCGAAATGGTAGACACAATATAGTTTGATGGATCTCTAAGAGTCTCATGCTTTGCTGAGACTGACTCCAACAGCTCAGATGCATGCGATGATGGTATGGTAAGAATTGCAGTGATCGCATCTGCTGAGAGCAGCAAACCGACGGATTCAGCTTTCAGCATTCCAGCAGTAGCGACAAGGGCAGCAGCAGCAATTTCTTCGTCTGCTGCAGTCAATTCCCTTTTAGCCGGTGGAGGTGGCGGGTTCGGCTCTGTCGGAAAGTCCTGAGCAGAGTGAGCATACTTACAAGTGTTCTCGTACTTGCACCAACCATGCTTGGCAAAGAACTGACAGGGCTCGTTTCCATCTGGACCGCCACATCCACCACATTCACCACATCCACCACATCCGCCGCATCCGCCGCATCCACCGCTGTAATCCTGGTATCCGTAGTCGGAACCGTGAAATCCGGGTCCAGGTCCACACCCAGGTCCTCCAGGTCCTCCAGGTCCTCCAGGACCAGGCCCGCCCTTCCCACAGCCCTTTCCACAGCCCTTTCCACAGCCCTTTGCGCCCTTGCCACAGCCACCAGGGCCACAGCCGCCACAGCCACCACAGCCAGGGCTAGGCGTGTCAGGACCAGCGATGTGCTTATATCTGCACTGGTCGCCATATTGGCACCAGCCAGCTTTTTCAAAGAAGCGGCAGGGTTCGTTTGCAGGTTGTGCGTCACTCAGTCCGGCGATGTGCTCATGCCTGCATTGGTCGCCGTACTTACACCAGCCTGATTTAGCAAAGAATTGGCAGACCTCACCCGATTTGGCACCACCAGCACCAGGACCTCCTCCATTGGGAGTGTCTGGCCCCGCCACGTGGGCATGTCGGCAACCTTCTCCCCATTTGCACCAGCCAGACTTGACAAAAAACCTGTTGTCATGTTGTCCAAGAATGTGAAATGTTGGCGCTTGTGATGTACATTATATTTGTATCATATGAGTAAATTACATGTATATCATCAAAATTATAAAAACATATAAAAACAAAATTATCAAAAGAAATTGCAGTGAGCGCAAAAAGTTTTTGAAACAATGTATAGAAAGAACAAAAAATAAATAAAAATCGCTCTGCTAAAGTCAAGACTCTGACAAACTTGTCCTGAATCCCCTGCAGGGCCTTGATCAGGGCCGCCAGGGCCCCCAGGGCCCCCAGGGCCACAAGGGCCACAAGGGCCACAAGGGCCACAAGGGCCAGGGATGGGGCTAGCTGAAAATTGACCTACGCCGCCTCCACAACCTCCATCTCCAAGGGGTGGTGGATATGGTGCTGGGCGACTGTTTCCTCCATCTGTAATCGGCCCAAAGGACATCCCAACTCAACGACGTCCACGATAAGCTCTAGCATTTTGAGCCACACTAAGAATTCTGCATGTATCATTGCAAACAAACTGCGTCCATTTGCAATTGACATAACCAAAGTGCGATGTTAACTATAGTGTACATAGACACTGCAAACAACATCAGAGAGTCTTTCACTGGTTCTATTCAACTGTCAGTAAGCTATACATATATATATATATGTGTAATATTATATATATATATGTGTATATGTTCATGTATATGCTCGTATATGTATATGTATAGATTGTATAGGTATATGTATAATAGGTACGTGTATAGGTATATATGTATATGTATATATGTATATATGTATACATGTATACATGTATATATGTATATATGTATATATGTATATATGTATATATGTATATATGTATATGTATATATAATATATACATGTAACTATGTATATATGTCAATCCTGGCAGGTGCCAAACCACATTGTGTTGGCGCCAAAGACAAAGCGGTGAGGATATGTTGCAAGGCCATTGGAGTCACAAGCATGGTTACAACCCTGACTGCTTCTCAAGCGCAGCTTGCCTTCCTTCCGCCACCGATCACATCAACGGTGTAGGTGCCTTGGGCCACGTACAATGTCAAGTCAGGTCTATATCCATATACAACATATCATGTATAATATATACATATCCGCCGACCCCGGCTGGCAGCAAGGGGGAGCGCGCTAGGGAAGAAGAGTTTACTACTACTACTAGTACCACTATTACCAGCACCCCCACCACCACTACCACTACTACTCCTACTCGGAGGGAGTGTTTGGGCGCAATTTTGATGTTTTTTCGTCTTGTCCTGACATGGTGTTTTCCTATCCGGGCGCTGCCGTTTGAACAGAAGGAGTAGCAGGAGCACGAGCAGCAGCAGCAGCAGCAACAGCAGCAGCAGCAGGACGAAATCGCGGCTGGTTTCGCGTCTGTTTCAAGAGCAGCAGTGAGTCTAGCAGCAACAGTAGCAGTAGCAGTAAGCTTGCAGCAGCAGTAGCAGCAGCAGCAGCAGCAACAAAAAGAAAAAGTAACTCAAATGATTTCCTGCCTATGTCGTCCGTCAGAGTCATGATGTTGCAGCAGCAGCAGCAAAAAGAAAAAGTAGCTCAAATGATTTCCTGCCTATGTCGTCCGTCAGAGTCATGCTGTTTTCCCCGTCGGGCAACAACAACGACAACAACAGCAGCAGGACGAAATCGCGGCTGGTTTCGCGTCTGTTTCAAGAGCAGCAGTGAGTCTAGCAGCAACAGTAGCAGTAGCAGTAAGCTTGCAGCAGCAGTAGCAGCAGCAGCAAAAAGAAAAAGTAGCTCAAATGATTTCCTGCCTATGTCGTCCGTCAGAGTCATGATGTTTTCCCCGTCGGGCAACAACAACGACAACAACAACAACAACAAGAAGAACAACAAGAACAACAACAACAACAACAACAGCAATAGCAACAGGAACAGCAAGAGCAAGAGCAACAGCAAGAGCAACAGCAAGAGCAACAGCAAGAGCAACAGCAACAGCAAGAGCAACAGCATTTGTGCAGTGGGAGCAACAGCAGTAGCAGTAACAGCAGCAGCAGCAGCCGCAGCAGCAGCAGCCGTAGCAGCAGCAGCCGCAGCAGCAGCCAACAACAACAACAACAACAACAACAAGAACAAAAAACAATGACCCTTTGCCGGGGGACCCTGTTGGGTCCCCCTCCCACCAGTCACGTACGTCGATTCATTGACTCCGGGGTTTTTGTTTTACCGGTGGGGGGTCCTTCCCGGAGTCTCCTCGAGGTACGTGGGGCTCCTTGGGTTGCCCTTCCCGCTCTGATCTGTTCCTTCGAAACAGCAGGATTTCAGAAGACACGTCTTTTTGTGTGGGTTGCAGAAGTTACATTAGGTAGTTTTGGGGCGCAATTTTGATACTTTTCCGCCTTTCACTGCCATGGTGCTGGCCCATCCGCCTTTTGAACAGAAGGGATCAAAGGAGCAGGAGCAGCAGCAGTAGCAGCAGCAGCAGCAGTAGCAGCAGCAGCAGCAGGAAACATTTTGATGCTTTTCCGTCCTTCACTGCCATGGTGTTTTCGTTTGGTGTTTTCCTGCCGGAAGGTGATTTTGTCGAAGGCAAGCCGCTGCAGGCAACAGAATCTCTCGAAAAAGGTTGTTTTTCTAGGATTGCAGACGGGACGTTTGGCAGTTTTTTCGCATGGTTTTGGAACTAGCTCGTCCTGCAGAGCCATGGTGTTTTCCTGCCGGAAGGTGATTTTGTCGAAGCTGTTTGATTGCAAGCAGCCGCAGGCAACCGAATCTCTCGAAGAAGCTGTTCTACTGCCAGCAGTCTCGGAAAACGTTGTTTTTCTAGGATTTCAGACGACACGTTAGGGAGTTTTTTAACGTGGTTTTGGCACTCGCTCGTCCTTCAGAGCTATGGTGTTTTCATGCCGGCAGCTACTTTTTTTCGAAGCTGTTCTACTGCCTGCCGGCAGCTGCTTTTTTTCGAAGCTGTTCTACTGCCAGCAGTCTTGAAAAAGGTTGTTTTTCTAGGATTTCAGACGACACGTTAGGGAGTTTTTTCACATGGTTTTGGCACTCGCTCGTTCTTCAGAGCCATGGTGTTTTCCTGCCGGCAGCTGCTTTTTTTCGAAGTTGTTCTACTGTCAGCAGTACTGCCAGCAGCTGCAGGCAACAGAATGTCGTCAAAAAGGTTTCTTTTCTAGGATTTCAGCTTTTTTCGAAGCTGTTTTACTGCCAGTAGCTGCTTTTTTTCGAAGCTGTTCTACTGCCAGCAGTCTTGAAAAAGGTTGTTTTTCTAGGCTTTCAGACGACACGTTAGGGAGTTTTTTCACGTGGTTTTGGCACTCGCTCGTTCTTCAGAGCCATGGTGTTTTCCTGCCGGCAGCTACTTTTTTTCGAAGCTGTTCTACTGCCTGCCGACAGCTGCTTTTTTTCGAAGCTGTTCTATTGTCAGCAGTCTTGAAAAAGGTTGTTTTTCTAGGATTTCAGACGACACGTTAGGGAGTTTTGTAACGTGATTTTGGCACTCGCTCGTCCTTCGGAGCCATGGTGTTTTCCTGCCGGCAGCTACTTTTTTCGAAGCTGTTCTACTGCCTGCCGGTAGCTGCTTTTTTTCGAAGCTGTTCTACTGCCAGCAGTCTCGAAAAAGGTTGTTTTTCTAGGAGATTTCAGACGACACGTTAGGGAGTTTTGTAACGTGGTTTTCGTACTCGCTCGTCCTTCAGAGCCATGGCGTTTTCCTGCCGGCAGCTGCAGGCAACAGAATCTCTCGAAAAAGGTTGTTTTTCTAGGATTGCAGACGGGACGTTTGGCAGTTTTTTCGCATGGTTTTGGAACTAGCTCGTCCTGCAGAGCCATGGTGTTTTCCTGCCGGAAGGTGATTTTGTCGAAGCTGTTTGATTGCAAGCAGCCGCAGGCAACCGAATCTCTCGAAGAAGCTGTTCTACTGCCAGCAGTCTTGAAAAACGTTGTTTTTCTAGGATTTCAGACGACGCGTTAGGGAGTTTTTTCACGTGGTTTTGGCACTCGCTCGTTCTTCAGAGCTATGGTGTTTTCATGCCGGCAGCTACTTTTTTCGAAGCTGTTCTACTGCCTGCCGGCAGCTGCTTTTTTTTCGAAGCTGTTCTACTGCCAGCAGTCTTGAAAAAGGCTGTTTTTCTAGGATTTCAGACGACACGTTAGGGAGTTTTTTCACGTGGTTTTGGCACTCGCTCGTTCTTCAGAACCATGGTGTTTTCCTGCCGGCAGCTGCTTTTTTTCGACGTTGTTCTACTGTCAGCAGTCCTGCCAGCAGCTGCAGGCAACAGAATCTCGTCAAAAAGGTTTCTTTTCTAGGATTTCAGCTTTTTTCGAAGCTGTTTTCCTGCCAGTAGCTGCTTTTTTTCGAAGCTGTTCTACTGCCAGCAGTCTTGAAAAAGGTTGTTTTTCTAGGATTTCAGACGACACGTTAGGGAGTTTTTTCACGTGGTTTTGGCACTCGCCCCTTCTTCAGAGCCATGGTGTTTTCCTGCCGGCAGCTGCTTTTTTTCGAAGTTGTTCTACTGTCAACAGTACTGCCAGCAGCTGCAGGCAATAGAATCTCGTCAAAAAGGTTTCTTTTCTAGGATTTCAGCTTTTTTCGAAGCTGTTTTACTGCCAGTTGCGGCTGGCAACAGAATCTCTCGATCTCTCGAAAAACGCTGTTTTTCTAGGATTCTAGGATACTTTTTTCGACACTGTTCTACTGCCTCTCGAAAAATGTTATTTTTCTAGGATTTCAGGCGGGACGTTTCCTGCCGGCAGCCGCTTTTTTTCGATTTCGATGGTGTTCTACTGTCAGCATCAGCAGTCTCGAAAAAGGCTGTTTTTCTAGGAGATTTCAGACGACACGTTAGGTACTGCCTGCCGGCAACTGCTTTTTTTCGAAGCTGTTCTACTGCCAGCAGTCGAAGCTGTTCTACTGCCAGCAGTCTCGAAAAAGGTTGTTTTTCTAGGAGATTTCAGACGACACGTTAGGGAGTTTTTTAACGTGGTTTTCGCACTCGCTCGTCCTTCAGAGCCATGGCGTTTTCCTGCCGGCAGCTGCTTTTTTTCGAAGTTGTTCTACTGCTAGCAGTACTGCCAGCAGCTGCAGGCAACAGAATCTCGCCAAAAAGGTGTCTTTTCTAGGATTTCAGCTTTTTTCGAAGCTGTTTTACTGCCAGTTGCGGCTGGCAACAGAATCTCTCGATCTCTCGAAAAACGCTGTTTTTCTCGGACTCTAGGCTACTTTTTTTCGACGCTGTTCTACTGCCTACCGGCAACTGCTTTTTTTCGATTGATTTTCGAAGCTGTTCTACTGCCAGCAGTCTCGAAAAAGGTTGTTTGTCTAGGAGATTTCAGATGACACGTTAGGGAATTTTTTAACGTGGTTTTGGCACT